ATGCCTCATCTGTCCCCCAACCCATACAGCAGATCCCAGACGTAGAAGTCCATGAGTCAGGAACCATTTACAAGAAACTGAGTTATTTGTAGTGAGGTGGATGGACCTAGAGACTGTCATACAGAGTGAAGTAAGTCAGAAAGAGAAAAACAAATACCGTATACTAACACATATATATGGAATCTAAAAAAAAAAGGTCAGAAGAACCTAGGGGCAAGACGGGAATAAAGATGCAGACCTACTAGAGAATGGACTTGAGGATACGGGGAGGAGGAAGGGTAAGTTGGGACAAAGTGAGAGAGTGGCATGGACATATACACACTACCAAACGTAAAATAGATAGCTAGTGGGAAGCAGCCGCATAGCATAGGGAGTTCAGCTTGGTGCTTTACGACCACCTAGAGGGGTGGGATAGGGAGGGTGGGAGGGAGGGAGATGCAAGAGGGAAGAGATATGAGGACATATGTATATGTATAACTGATTTACTTTGTTATAAAGCAGAAACTAACACACCATTGTAAAGCAATTAAACTCCAATAAAGATGTTTAAAAAAAAAAAAAGAATTGATTGGACACTCAAGGCTCAGCTACTCCTTCTATCACTCCTAATTGTACTAGTAGATACACTAGCACCCAAGGACCCATAAGCGGCCTCCCAGGCCCCCAGGCCTGGACTGCCACACTCTCTTTGGCTGTCTTCACTCTTTCCTCCAGGTTCAGGCCCTCCTCCCTTCTGTGCCAGGCGTAGAGCCAAGTTTGCACCAACCCCCACTGACAACAGTGCAGAGAAGAAAATTTCAGAACTTCCTGTTCTGAGACTTTGAAAGACTTTTTTAATTAACCAAAATGGTTTCTCATAATAGATGGGTCCCAGGGCGAGAACACGACTGTAACTTACGCGGCAGGCGCCTCGCGGCGGATCTGGGAGTGAGGACCTAGTGGCTGTGAATGGCGGCAGTGCCTTGGGAGGGCCCCAGACTGATTCTCCACTCCAGGACCATGTGCCATTTTATCATTTATATAGCTTGGGACATCTCTGTCTTGTGAACTCTAAAGCGTTTTTCCATCGATGGATACGTTTAAGTTTTAAATATTCAAATTTAGAGAAATAAACAATCAAAAAATGTGTTTTCCCTAGCCATAAGTCACAATTTTTAAAAACTGAAAGCCTTTCCTGGAACGATGATACCGTACCCAACCACAACATTAGTTTTTGGAATGCGGGTATACCTCACATTAGGAAATCTAATCTATAAAAACCTGAACCTCAAAATAGATACCTGGACATAATAGGCCTTCAAAGTAAAGTACTGTATTCAGTTTTCAAAAGGATTCAGCCCAGGATTTCTTTAAGTTGCCAAGTTCCTAAATTAATTTCAAATCAGTTTTAATTTACAAAATATTGACCTATATACTTTTTTTTTTTTTTTTTCAGAAACCCAGCTACTGTAATTCTTCTTAGATACAATATAATCTAGCTAGGGAGATAAATAACCAGACTACAAGGATTCTTTAAATATAAGGTCATGTGCTACTCATCTCTATATTCTTAGGACTGCTATTTCTTCAATGAATTCATATGTTGTTGAATTGCATATGATGAAGTATTTATGTAGCTTAAAACGCTGTGGGTTGAGCTGAAGACTTGGACCTGGAGTTACTTTGAAATATTCCTCAGTGACAGCCATCATATATGGTATATAAACACAGCCTGATTTTGTAATAAAATAAAATACTATAGAAGAGAAAGGAAAGAAAATCAGTAAATAACTAGCAGAAGGAGGTGAGAAGATCTAGTTAAACTTTTCTAACCTTTTCAGACTGGATGTTTCTGTCTTTGGAGAAGAAACTGAACATTCAGCCCTAACAACTTTTCAAAAGATGATTTAGATTTGATGTGCCTTTCAATGGGCAGTGGTCGTGACCTTATGCTGAGAATATTCCACTGACCTGTGGAACTTCCACAACCCCAGTGCCTGCTCTCTTGGAGAGGTTTCAAGCTATCATCTTGCTTCCAAAAACAAAACAACTTTAACCCTACTTCTTGTGAGGCTGAATGACCAAAAGTTCACTCAGAGAGGTGGCTTTGGGCTGCTCCAAGGTGGCCGAGCGGCACCTGTGCTTTTGTGGAGCACTGTGATGGAGCCATCCCTTAGTGTCAGTTACGGCGACCAGCAGGAGGCAGGGCCATGAGCCAGCCATGGAATGAACTGAGTTACTGTCAGTATTAAATATGCGTTTATTGTGTGGACTTTGCATCCTTAATAAGTCATGATAGTGTAGACCACGTTAAGTTTTAAGAGTAAACAGTTGACATATATAAAATGGAATGTTACTTAGCCATAAAAAAGAACGGAGTAATGCCATTTGCAGCAACATATAGAGATTGTCATACTGAGTGAAGGAAGTCAGACAGAGAAAGACAAATATCATATGATATCGCTTATATGTGGAATCTAAAAAGAAATGGTACAAATGAACCTATTTACAAAACAGAAATACAGTCACAGATGTAGAAAACAAACTTATAGTTACCAAGGGGGAAAGGGGGGGAGGGATGAACTGTGAGATTGGGATTGACATATACACACTACTATACATAAAATAAATAATCAACAGGACCTACTGTAGAGAACCGGGAACTCTACTCAATACTCTATAATGATCGATATGGGAACAGGATCTAAAAAAGAGTGGATATATGTATATGTATAACTGAATCACTTTGCTGCACACCTGAAACTAACACAACATTGTAAATCAACTATACTCCAATAAAATTTTTTTTAAAAAAAGAGTAAACAGTTGAGATGAAAATTCTGGTAGAGAAATTCTATGTGCTAGTTGAGGTAGGTACTTGCTGCACATTACGAGAGGGTCGCTGTTATGCAATTTTAGCAGAAGGATCCCCTGGTCAGGTCAGGGTCTCTGCTAGCCTAGCCACTGTCCTTTGCATGAACTGAAAAAAGGAGTCCCCTCTGGACAGATGGTGCCCTTCTCCCAGATCAATGCAGACCACACCAGAGCTCACAGCTTGCCTGCAGAGCTTGGACAAAAGTCAGGGTCCACCTTAAACTGCGCTTCTCTATGCAGAGCCCTGGTCCCGTGCAGGTGAGATTTTCGGAGTGGTGCCACTGCTCACCACAGTCCAGCTGGCCTCAATCCACCACCAGTCATTGTGCAATGATGTCTGCCCCCACCCACCCCAGGACACAAGCCTCTCCTCTGCTTGGACTACAGGGATGTCTGCACCCACGGTGATGAGTAGCTAGTGGTTCTGCAGACTCTACTCATGCCCAAGCCCTGACACTGATCCTCTCAAGAGGACAAGAGACAGTCTCTCTTAGGCCACTGTATCTCTCTCTGCATTTATCTGAAATCTTGTCCCCACATAGATTAGGTGCCTGGATCCGGCACCAGCTAAATCCATCCCTGAAAAATATCATCCAAGAAGTGGTTCAATATCACGAGCAGAACTTTTTCCTCCTCACTGAACAAGTGACATCAGCTAGATGCTCAAATGGCCCAGCGTCTTCAAGGGAGAAGATGGCAGAGGTGGCATCACAAGCATTGAGACCCTGCAGTAAACTGTAAGCTTTAGTAAAGGATGGGCATTCCAGGGTTCCATTAGGATTGTTTGAAGAAGGAAAGCTTTGGGGCTTTGGGCGTGGTGGCTTGTCTTGGGAGCCTCTTTTCCAGAAAATGTCTAGAGACTGTGATGTTTCAGGAAGGGTTCTAACCCGATGAAGTTACCGTATCTAGAACTACAACACGCCCATTCCAGTTACAATCATTCATCAGAAACCAGGGGGCTGCCCTAAGAAAGCAGAAACATGTGAACTTGCAACCAAGGACGGCTGGACCACAAGTTTGATCTGGGCAGCTTCCGTCTTTCCTGTGTGTGTAGGGACACCTGCTCTGAGCGAGTCCCTGATGATATTCCCTGAGCCTAACCTGATGGAACGAATACACTGAAAGGTTTGACCTCAAATGCCTTTAAAGGGCAAGCTCAGCTAGAGAATTTAAGTTACAGAGAGTTTTCAGAAAAAAAAATTGGTTGTGATATTGTTAAACACAAAGGACACAAACACACATGCTAAATAAGATGATCAAATAAGCCCAAAAGCACAAAGTACGATGGCAAATGTATCAACTAAAAGCTCTGTCATACGGCACCATAACCTCGCAATGATTCAAACGCTGAACAACAAATGACAACTTTAATAGATACCGTTAATAGCAAAATGTATGCTTTACTGAAGAAAAAAAAAAAACTATCTTGCTCTAAGCAGTTTTGAAATGAATATTTGATTCAAAACTTCCCCTGTGCACAATCGCATGCTAATTTACATTTTAATTACTTCCTAAGAAATCAAAAGCATTTGTTGACAGTAGAACATAATGTCAGCTTCACGGTAAGCTGTTGGTGGATGCTTAATGAACTTAATTAGACAATTAGTGATGTTAATTATCCTTCTATTATGAAGATAAAGCTGTCTCACTAATGATGCACTTGGTAAAGAAACATCATTAAAGGTATCAGTGTTTGCTTTGTTCATTTACTTCTATTTTTCAGACTCCTGTAACAAGGACTTGTGATAGCCTAGTAACGTTTAAGACTCTTAAAATGGAAAAAGAAAAGCCACTGTTTCCACCAGCCCGATACTGTCCTTCCCCCTCATTTTGGATACTAATACTGTGTTGGTGACGGGGCTGCTCTTTCAAATCCCCTGCTGTAGGGGCCTCCAGTCTATAGTCAGTTGTGGTATGGAGTTTCTGGTTCAAACCATGTCCTTCCTTTGGGCTCTAATATAAATTGTTTTAAGAATGGGATGTGTGGGTGTGTGCGTAAAGAAGAGAGATAATGAGAGGGAGTCTCCTGGTTGAGTGGCCAGAACACTGGAAGAAAACCTAAGGGGCTAATTCACACACACACACACACACAACCGTTGCCCTGGCCTCGGCTGCATTTCTACGACCCTACAGTGCTGTGCTCTCACCTCCACCACCAGGATGCTTTGCTGCCCTGGGAAGCTCCATTCTGCATATGGTGTTGGAACACAGCTGCCTGCATGACCAAAGGGCTACAACACATAATATACACACTTTACTTTCAGCTGAAGTGAAGAAGGAAACTTCAGAGGTTTAAGAAATAAGATGCTGGACTTCACCATTTTTCTCTTTCTTGCATTCGAATACCACCACAACCAGAGCGTAATGGAAGTCCCTTCTGGAAGTAATCCTAGTTTAGACACACCATGAAGAGCTCTAAGGCCAGGTTGGGGACAGTGGCATTATTTTTAGGGTCAGTAATCTCGGGAAAAGCATCAAGAGAAAGTGTCATTGGCAGCCTCGCCCGCCCACCACAATTAAGAAAACCAAGATTCCATTTAGTAGAAGATCTCAGTAACAATGCTCACGTCAGTAGAGGGATTTATACTTTACAAAGTCTTTTTTAAAAATTATACTTTCATTCGTTTCTGAGTGGTTTTACTCCTCTAACAGAGAGTCTCATTTAATTACTGGCTCACAAGACGTTTAGCCCCACAGAGCACTACTGGGTTTTCCAACAATTCAGCACTGCGATTTCTCACAAAGTCCGTGTTTGCAGGTTTTCTGAATCACTCTTCTCTTCTCCATGGTTTCCAGTGGTTTGTCCCTCCAGCCCCGCTCCTCCCTTGATTTGCTGACACAAGCTGTCTTTCTGCCCTCCCACCCTACAGCGAGGACGTATTATCAAGACCTCACCAATCTCTGGGTCCTCTCACCCCTTCAATTTTAGAAGTTCTCATGCATCTTCATTTTCCCCCAAATTTAGGCTACCTGCTTCCAAACATCTCTCTTAAAGGCACATTCATCTCCTGGGAAAGTCTTTTTTTTTCCTTGCCCAACATCATGTTGAATTTACAACAAGTTTAAGTAAAAATAGTCCCTGTGATGACCTTCTAAATTTCAGATTTTTAAAATTTCCTACACCTTCTTAAAGATTTTTGATTATAACTCTTTTACAGTAGAACATCTCTGGGAATTCTAACTTCCGTTTTCATAGTTGCTTTTTGACTTCCTTGGCTGGTCCCCTCAACTCCACCACTTACTTCCCCTTCATTTCAAAGCCCATTCATTTCTATTTTCAAAAAACTCTTCTTAGCCCTGGGGTGCTCCTGACTCATGAGCCTTTTGCCCAGGTGAGTGAAATCTGAGGCTTCCACCTCAAGGGCTGTTCACCCCTGGACACAGAGGTGCCAAAACACTGAACTGGAAAGCATTGTGTCCCATCAGACCTCAACCTCCTTCCTGAAACAGGGGAGTGGGATTCTCGGGGACTCACTGCACCTTCAGCCTCAGCAAGACCAAAATCTCTCAGCAGCAGGAGACCAATGCAAACACGCCAGAAAGCAAGACCAAGAGCAGCTTGATCACTCCCACAGCGACTGCTCAAGCCTTCCAATGCTGCATGCTTGCTTCCCCTGCAATTTTTATTTGGGTTCCATGACTTCCTTAAAGAGAAAATAAGAATACAGGAACATTTACACATGTAACGATACGATGTCTGGGATACTGCTTCATAATTATTCTGTGCACAGGGAGAAAGCGGGTAGGGATAGAGAAGAGACAAGATTGGCCAAGAACTGAAATTTGTGGAAGTGATGGATAGATACACGGGGATTCATTTTTTATTTTCCCTACTTCTATATCTGTTTGAAAATTTCCACAATGATTTTTCAAAGGGATAATGGGTGAAGTTCTCAGAGTAGATGGTCAAAAATGTCATTTTCCTCGCCAGGGACCTGAGCCAAGGCTGCTTTTAGTATAGCTGTCACCCCATGGCTGGTCTCAGCCAGCATCTCATCCTCCACCAGGGGCAGTGCTGCTCCGTGGCTGCGGGTGAGTGATAGTGGGCCTGGGCACTGCTGGTTTTGCAGGAGGCTCTTGTGCGTCTGGGTGGGTGGAGGCCTCGCCCACAGGGCAGCCCTTAGAGGACCTCATGGGGCCTTGGAGTAAATGTTTAGTGCTTTCGTATTCTTGCCAGGGCAGACATAAAATTCTTGCAGAAACCTGTCTTTGGTATTTTAGCAACTGCAGTGTGCGACCCTCTGGCTTTGGGTGCCTTCTCATCCCCTTCTGTTAATTCTCACCTGGCCCTGGCTTCCCTACGTGGGCCATGTCAACATTCTAATATATGGCTTTGAAGACAGCAACTGGAAGCCTGCTCAGTTATCTCCAAAGGCCATGGAAACGTGGCAGACACAGAACCTGGCCCTGCTCCACCGGCTCTTGCTCCTCTCTAAACCCTCTAAGTTTGCTCAGGTGAGGCACACATGGCCCCTGCATGAACAGCTGTCCACACAGAAGGAAGGTGGGGTGAAACCTAGCTCATACTTTGCAGAACAAGACCTGGGTCAGGTGGCTGTGTGCCCCCCGCCCCAGAGGGGGTCCCACCTCCTTACAGGGTAGAGGTGGCCCTGTACTCTCAGCGTCCACCCTCTGGTCCCCATTCTCTGCAGAGCCCCACAGAACCATCTGAATCACACACCTCCCACACCTCCTACACCTGGGCACACTCTCTTCTCGTGGCCTGATTTAAGAGCCCCGGAGCTAGGGCCTCTGTCTTTGGTGGCCCTCTTTTCTTTTTGTTCACACCAGCCTCGATTAAACAATTTCTCTTGTGTATTCTTTGGTTTCCACTGCTCCAACCACTGCCTTGCCTCCATCACCTCCCACCTGAATGATGCTACAGCCCCCAGCTTGTCCACTCCCCCAAGAGTCCTAAACTCCAATCTAACCTGTACAAACAGAAATGTGCCGTTCCCCTGCTTAACCCCCAACCTATGGGCCCCAGTGCCGCCCTCACCTGCCTCCATGCCCATCCTGCCACCTGCAGCCGCTTTGCCCATCCCCCTGCTCACAGGCCTCACAACCCCTTCCCACCGGACCTCTAGCTCCTGTGTCCCATGTGCCCATTTTCTGTTTGCTGATGTTTAAAAAAAAAACAGAGGATGACACACTTTATGTTCTGGAATAATTTTGGATCCACAGAAAAATAATAAAGATAGTACACAGAACTCCTGCTCCTGTCAGCCCTCACCTGGTTTCCCATAACGTTAACATCATACATTGCCAAGGTGTGTCTGCTAAAACTAGGAAACAAACACTGGTTGCTGATGTTTTTTCAACTTGTTTTTAAACAAGAAAGTTTGAAGCTGAGCAGATGAGCAAAGCCGCTCCTACTGCTGTGAAGAGGGATGGCTGGCAAGAGTGTGTGCTCTGGATCCCTCCAAGCTGAAGGGGGCATGATGAAGTGGCTTCCTGGACACCCTGAGTTGTCCTTTGGTAACCTCAAGGGAGCCCAAGGTCCCAACCTCTGTCCCACAGGCCGACAGCCACAGCCTTTATACCCTGGTAGAGACGATGACTTCACGCTTTGATCCCAGAAGGGACTGTGATGGGAGTCAGGGGGAGAAAAGGAAGAAATAACATCTATATATCAGCCTTGCCTCAAAGTTCAGCTCACCTGCCAAGAAGAAAACATTTTCTACTGAAAATGAAGATAGGTAAAAGGCATGAGGAATCGTACATCGCGTGTCTCACTCCAAGGAACAATTTATCAGTGCTACAGAGCTGTCAGCCACTGACATGATAAGGAATAACACCAAATGAATAATGTTTCCTCTAAAACCAACTCCTTTAATTACAAGCCCCTTCTTTCCAGAAGAGAGACAGAAGATGCAGAAACGCCAATTTCATGCACTTGTGCCTGAATAACGCCTCCATGCTGCTTTTTCCAGATGGCGACCTTCTCACTGGAGGGACTAATGATGTGGGCATATTTAGGGGAAAACCAATAACAGAGTCTTTAACCTTCAACAACAAAAAGCGTGTTATACGAAATGTTCCTTGGGATACGTTAGAAAATATCAATTACATTGCCCGCCGAGGTGTGATCAGCTGTAATAATCAAAATTAACTTTCGGAAATAATTAAACAGGCCCCAGGGCGAGTAGCTGATGCTCTCATCCTATGGCATCACAGTGTACACATGTACCTGAGAAGTTGTGCCTTCTGTTAGCAACAAAGGCATCTCGCGTGGATGAGTGATGGATGCGGGCTCTGAAGGCTAGTGAGGTTCATCCCACAGAAAGCGAGGGAGGGGGCTCCGTGCAGCTCCCTACACATTCAGAACCTTCTATGCACCGGGCACTGTGCCCAGCCCAGGCTGAGTTACTGGTAGGAGATGCTGCTCAGTGAAGACGCAGATAATTTTTGTTTAATTAAAGCATAGTCCACGTTGTTTCAAAAATAATTTGACTTTTAAAATTCCACAAGACAGTATAAGCTGTAGAAAAGATACATAAATCAGGCTGGAGGTAAAATGGGGCTCAATGAGGAAGGAAGAGGCCAGGGAGAGATATGTGTGGGTGTGTATACGTGTTTTGCAGAAATTTATCCCACTGGGCATGTGCGGTTACACCACTTGGGCCACGCTTATCTCTCTGGCTTCCAAGTGCCTAAATGAAAGAGGAAAACATAATGGTGTCAGAAGTTCTGCTGTCTGAGTTGCTGTGGAAAAGCACAGTCCTTCCTGGTGTTAACAGCTGAGGGAGACATCCCCCAAGGCTGTCCTCTCCCCGCTGCAGTCCAACCACACTGGCCCGTGCTGCCCTACAACCCCCAGCGCACTCCTGACTCTGTACCTTTGCCCGGTGGTCCTCCCTGCCTGATCACTTTTTCCTGGAGAGCCACGAGGCTCCTGTCCTTCCTTCTCTGCTCTCACACCTCCCTGCCAGAGAGGGCTTCTGCCACCTCCATCTAAGTGGCCCAGAACCTCTCTCATCACACTCTCCCACTTATCCTGCTCCACTTTTCCTTATTGCAATTAGCACCTCAACATTTACAAATGTATTTATCTTTTCATTGTCTATCTTCACCTCCTAGAATGTAGTCTCCATGAAAGCAGAAAATATGTCAGTTTTTCTCTCTTCTGTAACATCAGTACTTAGAGCAGGGTACAGAATAAGCACTTAATAAAATTTGTTGAATGAATGAATAAATGGATGGATGGATGGGACCTCAACTGATGTAGAAGACAGCATCTTCAGCAGCTCGCCTTCACCAAAGACAGACAACTTCAAGTATTCCTTCTTCCAGGTCTCTCAATGTGAGCCAAGAGGAAACTGTTATAAGCCATTTGTAAACCTACATGGCCCCAAACATTGCTGTTTACTCAAGCTTCTTTCAGATGGGCTGTTTCTCGACAAATCTCCCCAGGACTCGGAGGCACTGAACTGTACCAGTGACAGCGGCCTGGTGGGGGGTGCCACTGGCAAGACACAGCATCAATAGCCACATAAAATGCATGTCCATGCCCAGCGTCTCAGCTGTCCCTTCCGCAGCTGCCCAGCCAGACTGACCTGACCTCCTGGGGACAACGCTAACTTGGTCAAGGAGTAGATGCTCCAGGGAAGCCCAGGGAAGAGGGGCTGGACCCCTCCTGCCACAAATGGCATTGGTCAGGAGCAAGTGCTTGGGCACAAGTGGGGATGCTCCTGCTTCCAGTGCTAGGTGCAACTGTACCAAGTGTGAGATGGTCTTGTCTTGCCCTTGGCAGAGAGAGCTATATTGGAATTTTGTAAAGCACTTGCACTTTCCAAGTGCTTCCACATAGTCTAGTGTAAACAGAGTACATTCCCAGCTGTAAACTCAGGAATTGAGGCTTCCAGAGGTTTTGGAGTTGCCTAAGGGTGTGCTCAGAAGTGCAGAGACTATGAATGAAGATCCTGTCTCCACTCTGCCACTTCCTGGCTTCAAAGACCTTGACTTTTTCTTTCAGACTCTATTTCACATCTATAAAATGGGACTAATAATAGCTGTGTGATGTCGCTGGCCCGAGATCTCAGTTATTCACTCAGTCAGCCAGTAAGTCTGTGGACAAATTTAATGAGTAGTGTCTTCCACAAGCCAGTGCACTGAAGACACAGCCTGCTCTCAGCTCTGAACACCAGGGGGCCGGCCAGCCTAGTCAGTTTCATTTCCTGTCTTTCATTCTATCTTCAGGTTCTTTCTCCATTTGTCCTAAAGCCTGTTGCTCCTGAACCTTGGAAAGAAGAAAGCCCCCTTCTCCTGGCAGTCTGCGCACTTACAGGCAGCCCTTCACTCCTCTCTTCTCCCAGTATCCTCCCTTCTCCCCATCAGACACTGACCACAGTGGACAACAGACCTATGGTGACAGCAGGGCCCAGATTCTGAGCACATGGGATTTGGAGTTAACCTCAATCTCCAAAGTTACATGGGCAGAGTTCGAATTGTGTAATGTGTCTGTCAACCGGCTACCCCACTCCCTGGGGAATCCCTTCCCACAGTTTCCCAGTTATTTGTCCCATTGTGCAAGTCAGGAAATAAAGACTCAGGGGTGTTAAGTGAATCACAAACCAAGGTCTCCTGGGCCTAAGGCCATGCCTATTGGATGACCACCTTCTGCCTCTGAAGGTAAGTCGGTGAGCCTATCATTAGAATATATGAAAGACTGTATTTTCCAAGGAGAGGCTCAGCAATATTGCCAGTACTATGGGCTCTTGAAGAACCTCGTCACTTCCCTACCAGGATGTAGAGTCTATTGCCCTCCCCGTGAGCCTGGGCAGAACTCTGTGCCTTTCGAGACCAAAAAGGACTGCAGCGGAGGTGACGCTGCATGGTTTCCAAAGCTGGGTCATGCAAGGCAATGTGGCCTCCACCTCTCTCTCTTTCTCTCTCTCTCTCTCGCTCTCCATTTCTCTCTCTCTCCTTCTCCCTCCCTATGGAAATTTATCCCTTAAAACCCAGACATCAGGTTGTAAGGAAGCTCAAGACACATGGAAAAGCCATGTGTAGATGTTCCAGCCAACATCCCCAGCTAAGGTCTCAGACTAGAGCCAGCAGCAACCCCCAGATGTGTGAGTAAGTGAGCTTTCCAATCATCCCAGCCGAGGCCCCACACATCAGGTAACACAGACACCCCCAACCCCTGCTGTGCTCCAGATTCCTCACCACAGCATCCACAATCACAAAAACATCGTTGTCGGTGTTACCGAGTTTTAGGATGGTTTGATATGCAGCTTTGGAGACATGGACTAGAAAACGCTAACAGCTCAACCCCACATGGCCAAGAGGATCCACCACCATGTCTCCCAACAACGGCACCAACACTTCTGTCCCCCTTTGTTGTGCCCACACACCCAGCTCCTGCTGAGCTGTGGGGTATGGCCGAGTACACCTGACTCAAAAAGAGAACGGGAACAAGGATTGGTTTGGGTTTTAATGCCAAAAGGAACAGCTGCTCTTGGCACTCAAGTGGAGCCCATATTCCCTTCTGGTTAAAGCTAACCTAAGACCTGACTCCCACAGATGTAGCCTCAACTGGGAAGCCATATGCATTACCCGTAAATGCTCAGAAGAACATGGAGTTAGATCACATCCAGTGACAACAGAGAGAGAGGACATGATACATGGGGGTTTGAAGCGAATGCCTGATGTTCTCTAAGGAAAAGGGGTCTGGGCTCACCTCTGCTTTGCACTCAGGGTTCTTGGTCTGCCGCCCGGGCATCAGCCTCATGGCTGAGGACAAGCTTCCACTCCACGAAGGGACTTTGCTGTGGTGTCCGACACTTGAGCGACTGGCCAGTGACTTCTTTTCAGATGCTGGCGACAGAGAGGCAAAGACCATCAGAGGTGAAGTTAAGAGGGAAACAAACACACACTATTTCTACAGCTGGCTTGGCTTTCAAAGGGCAAGCCGGGGGCCACAAGCCCAGTGTGTCTGCCTCCAGTAAGGAAAACAGCCCAGGCTACAGGTTTGAATTACTGTGAACTTTGTGATGCTGAAAGACTTAAAACAACATATGAGCCATAACTTGAGAGTAATGACCTCCTTAAAAAGAAACTTAACCATTATTCCTACAACTGCATTGGCTAACAGAGTAAAAACGTTGAGTCACGGGTAGAATGCAAGGGAGGTTAATATCTTTGGGATGAAGAGTTTTACTTGGAACATGAAGAACCTGAGGCTCCAGGTCACTGCATGACTTGGCGCAAGGTTTCAAACCTGGTAGGTGAATATCAGGGCAGGACCTAGCACCCTAAGTTCCAGAGCCCAGGCTAGAGCTCTGACGTGGTGGCCCTTCCCTCTGAGAGATGACTAGAATCTGCTGCTTGGTTGGCACCTCTGGCCTTCCTTTCACCAAGATGCAAAGCAGCATTCATTCTTTGTGAGCAAAGATTCATGAGGCTTCAGCGATATAAATCCCACCCGCCAGAGGGATGAGACAGAAGGTCTGGTGTAAAAGGCTTTGGGCCCTGAGTGAAACCCTGGGGGAGCCTGGTTCTATGAGACTCAGAAGTTCCATTCCCTGAAGCCAAGTGGACAGAGACCTAGGTAATGCTGCCAGGCCTTGAGCATCATCTCTTCCCAGAGTGGGGTGACCTCCTCAATCTTCACTTCACTCTCTCCAGGTTTCACAGAAAGATCAATCTTGAAGTTATCCTCCAGCTCCTGCCGTCTCTGTGCCACGAGCTGCTGCCAGAGAGCCTGAACAGTCTTTTGGATGTTGTGCTGGACTAATGGAGAGAGTACATCACACAATCAGGACAGCCTCAGTGCTTCTCCCAGAGACAGCCAGGAGATGGCATATCATGGTTGTTTTTATGTGCATCATTCTTGAACATCACCCCAGCTTTGCAAGCTCCAGCCAGACAGCAGTCAGTATGTAGAGATGCAGGACTGATAACAATGCTACCAACATCCTTGTGAGCTGGCCTCTCCCCGACCTCTACCACCAAGTCCTGCCTGCTTCACATGTTCAGAGCTGGGAAACATGATTGATGGGCTCAGTGAGCCTCTTTCTCCCACCCCCAACTCTGTTAGATACCAAACAGAGAGATACCTTGTGTAAGCTCTAGGTAACAAAACAGTTCTCCCCAAAACAGCTCCTTCCAACCTTGACTTTTATGTTGGCCCCTCAGGGGAACAGACACTGAACCCAAGACTGTGCCCAGGGGCCCAGGAACCAAGCCAGTCCTCTCTCCTGGCACTGAATCATGCTTCCAACTACCTACCCACCTCACTGCCCTGGATTTGCAGAGAGACAGACGAATTTACCAAGCCAGTTCTACCTGCTATACCCCATAAACATAATCCCCTGAATTGTGCCTAACTTCCCTCTGATCTTGGGTCACTGGGTCTGCCCTTTGGTACCAGCCTCTACAGTTTGTTTTTCTCACCCTAGGGGGATGGACATTGCTCAGTCCACTCTACTAGTTAAATCCCAAAACGCAAATGCTCATGTTGTAATTAACACTGCAAGACAGTAAACTCTAAACGCACAAGAGTTTTGAGCACTGGCTTTGGGCACCTATCTGACCAGAAAATAAGGATCCTTGTGCCTACCACCTGGCATCACAAGATATCACAAGATTAAGTGGCACAGTTGGCAAACTAAAGTGGTGGAAGAAGGTCTGCTGAGGCTTCCTGCACCAAGAGGGAGAAATCTCTCAGACACATGGATCTGGTTGCCTTTTTTTTTTTTTCCCCCACAAACTGCCATCCTTTTAACTTGACTTGATATTATCGAATCCAAGAATAAACTCCATTAAGCCAGAAATCTCATAAAGTAACGAGCTTCTTTACGCCATTCCCATTTTCTAGAGAAGAAAGCTGAGACATAGATAGGTCATGGCTTGAACTGAGTGATATGGCACACCAGTTTCCACATCTAGTGGTCCAAAGGAAAAGTCAAGAGACCAGCTGAGAAGTGAAATCAACTTATAGTGAGGTTCTCTGGTATTTTAGTACACAAGTTCTTAGCCTCACCAAGTCTCACAGAGCTCCCTCCTCATCTATCCATCCATCCATCCACACACCCATCCAGTCTATTTCTTGTATACAAAGATCATTCCAACTTTATTCTCTATCAGGTTACCTTGCTGTATTACTACATTGTTCTAGGATTTCCTAGGACGTCTTCTGTCTTTTAAGAATCTTAGTAATATCTGCTTCCTTATCTTAGGAAGAAAAAACTGAAGAATGCAACCCTAGCAGTTCCCGCTATCTTCTACTCCCCCCAAAATAAACGACAAATAAAATGTACCATTGCTCAAGCTTGGGAAGTCTTCTCTTTTTTCTCTCACTTCTTCATTTGGAGAAAGAAAGACTTGATGATAAGGAGTCATTCTATGCTTGGGTTCCAATCCAAATCCTTCTGGATAACTAGTAGACAAGAGATTGTTCACTATGAACTCCAGTTTCTTTGGGATCATTCCATTGTTCTTTATTACAAATAATAATCTTGCAAACTCGGTACACATCAATATGAAAAAAAACTTGTCTAATCAAGTTAAAGCAAACACCTATGACAACTTCCATGACAGGTATTATACAAAAGCATTCTAGAAAAAAAGAACACCTTCTCTTTGTCCCTATCTTATTAAATCCAATCTATGCTCCCAAACAGACCTCCTCAACCTCTCCTGCTTTATACATCATGAGAACTGGTCATTTCTTTCTGCATTAAACTCTGCCTTTGCCTGGCGCTAATCTCATCCCTCATGGAATGGGGCCGGGGCCAGCTTCATGGCCCTGTGACCTGTGCAGCTGTGTATGGTCTGAACTCAGAAGGGTCCCATATTTGGGCTCTGCTGTCACCATCTTGAAATTCTTAGTAATTTTTGAATAAGAGCCCCGCATTTATACTCTGCAGGAACCCTGCACATCATACAGCTGGTTTGAAGTGGGGCGAAGTGGTTTACATATTAAGTTCCCCATGGACCATGTGCTCCAGAACTCCTGGCCGTGTTCATGTCCAAGTACCCTCTTCTCTGGGCCCCTCACCCAACCTTGCAGAACAGACACTCAGTACAAGTTTGTGGATTGAACCAAAAATGACAAACAAGGAAATGAAAAATAACCAGCATATAAGGATGTCCATTCTTGAAATTTCTAGAATAAAGTCCCTTTGGACTTGGGAGGCCGCTTTGCCATCCAGAGGGATTTGAGGAGGGCAGAACTTCAAGCACACAAGTCGGCTGGCATTCTGCTCCTCTTACCCATGCTTCCAGTACGGATAGGGCCTAATTCTTGAAATACAGAAAAGAAAGAAGCACTTCCCCAGTTTAATCCATACACTGAAAATGGATTATTTTATTTCAAACAAATAAAAAGGCAAATACCTCCTCTGGGCTAGGAGTGTTTTCCAGTGCTTCCCAGAGTGTTTTTAGACAAGTCAACTCGTGGTTTGTAACGTTCAATAGTCAACTCGACAGGATTTGGGGTTTTTTTTTTTTTCAAATAATCAAATTTGTACTGGGATAAACACAACTGAGAAAAGGACAAGAGTAAAGTGTAATATCTCACAGTCCTCTCTTCCTCAACATGGTTCTATTAATAAGAGATAATATTCTTAGGCAGTATAATGCCAAGGCACACATGATGTATGATATATACCTACTACCACACAGAGGGAGAGAGAAAGTGCACATACACAGAAAAATCTAACGTTTTCAAACTTTGAACTTCAGGAAAGGGATTTAAATAGCTTAATTTAATAATTTAATGTATTTGTACTAGTATTTCTTATACAAGGATGTTTATGGATGTCATTTTATATCACAAATTGTGTGTGTATGTCTGTGTATGTGTGGTTTTTCGGTTTTTTTTTTTCCTGCAAGCAAAATTATTCCTGGCTTGCATGATTTAATTTATTATATATTTTCCCATTCTAAGATTTCATTTATCAAAAGTGAGTATTTCTGAAACCTGGCTGCATCATAAAATCAATTTATGTATTTAATGTTGGAGTTTTCTGCCTGCCCCTCCCCACCCAAATTAAATCAATGAAGTATCTTACAGCCTGAGAATTATGGAAATATGGTAAATTATTATCTCATGATGCTCCTAGCTGCTCAGTCACATGGACAGGTTTGAGGACTACTTACCGTATTATCAAATATTGCACATAATTTGGACAACCAGATAAACAAAAGGATTGTATCATCTATAATTGATCGACTTCAATCAAGTGTCCTCTAAAGCTTTCTTTCCTGCATTGACCACTGGCAAGCAAGGAGACAAGTGGGCAGCTCTAACCTTCTTGCACTGAGCAGCAGAAGACAATGCATGAGACACATGAGGAAGCTGGCGTTAGAATTATAGGTGGCAAAGATAATGTCCCAGTGTTCCTGAAGAAATCCCAGGATGTTGAGAAGGCTGAGGCATTCGGAGAGGGACTGCTGGGGCTTGGAGAGGCAATAAAGAATGACTTTATTTAAACTGCTGTATAGAGCACCGATGACAGCGTCTCTCTGAGAAGAGGCGTTCTCGATGACCTGTGTCATAAAATAAACACACACAGACACATACGTGTGAACACTTTGAAGTTTAGATACCAACCCAGTTAACTGTGAAAATGATACAATCCCAGATTCTTTTCTGCTTTTCAAAAAGTGACATTTCTAAAATCAAAAAGGACTAAACTTCCTCAACCTTGGAGCTCCTATTTAAGTGGATGATCAATAAAGGGAATTCAAACGTTTAAATTTACCAAAAATTGGTGTTAAAAAATTAAAAGTTTACCACAGTCATATTATGTAAAGTAGACATGGGACCACAGATTTCTGAAATACTGGTAACATGGTTGACATTCAGTATATAAGAACATGCTATTAATAGGGTCTTGTTTTAAAAAATGTTATTAATACTAGTTATCAGGTACAGATTGTTACGATATTCCAGTTATCATGCTAAGCATTTTTGCATTTGTGTGTGTATGTTTACATATATTGCCTCATTTAAACATAACAACATCGTGAAGTAGACACTAAGATTATCCCCCCTTAGGGGTAAGAAGGCTGAGAGTCTGAGAGGTAGGAGAGGTAGGTGGTCAGCAAGAGTCAAACCCACACCAGACACTTGAGCCATGCTCTTAACCACTATATCTTCTAAAGGAGATGTGCATCCAATGGATTTTAGTTCATGAGAGATTTAGAGGGGGAAGGCAGAAGGTCCTGATTTGTGGCCTTAACACTGAAGCCATCCATCTGTTTGGCTTCATTGAAAAGAATCCATAGAACAAAAATTATGTGCAAAATGTTTCAGTCTATTAGAAAGCTCATTTGTTAGTTATAGATTGCTCTCTTCAAATCTCATAGGTAATGCAAGTGTTTATACTAATTAAATTTTATTTAAATCTTCTGGAATTTAGGGTTCATGTTTTTATCATCATCCTCTCCTACTCTACAGATGGGTCACATCTTTCAAACTGAGGTTAAGAGGTGTGCGGGTCACAGGCAGCGAGCAGGAGAGAAGAATGGTAGATGTGGGCAGTGAGAGTTCTTGAGCCTGGCACCCTGCTGAAGACATATCAGCCCCAGAAGGCACCAGCTCTTTGATATTAGCTCTGAGTATTTGCTTAGACCACTGGGGAGCTGCTATAGATTGAATGTTAGTGTCATCACCCTAAAATTCATATGTTGAAACCCTAGCCCCCCAGTGTGATATATTTGGAGATGGGGTCTCTTGGAGGTAATTAGGTCATGGGGATGGAGCCCTCATGATGGGATTAGTGCCCTTATAGGAAGAGATAAGTGAGAGCTTGCTTCCTCACTCTCTCCATCATGTTGAAGGTACAATGAAAAGATGACCCTCTCTAAAACCAGAAAGAGAGCCTCACTGGACAACAGATCTGCTGGCACCTTGATCTTGGACTTCCTAGCCTCTAGAACCCCGAGAAGTAAATGTTTGCTGCTAAGTCACCCAGTCTATGGTACTCTATAATAGAAGCCCAAACTCGCTAAGACAGGAGCTCAGTGGCTACTCTCATTTTCAACACGACCTCCCAAGAATCTGATTTTACTCCCCTCAGAGCTGACAAGGGATATTTCTCCCTTCTAGGAGTTTTTTTTTTTTTTTTTTTTTTTTTTTGGCGATACACGGGCCTCTCACTGTTGTGGCCTCTCCCGTTGCGGAGCACAGGCTCCAGACGTGCAGGCCCAGTGGCCATGGCTCATGGGCCCAGCCGCTCTGCGGCATGTGGGATCTTCCTGGACCGGGGCACGAACCCGTGTCCCCTGCATCGGCAGGCGGACTCAACCACTGTGCCACCAGGGAAGCCCTAGGAGTTATTCTTGAAGAAACCTCTGAATACATTCTTTTCAGGTTGCCTAGAACTGGGCATCAGCAGACTGACTATCACTCTAGGAACTGTGCCAAGGCCCAGTCCTGGGGTCTGCATGGGACTCCACAGACAGAAGGGGGCTGGGGGCACTGATGTCATTGTCTCTACGAGGCATGAAGAGGAAGGAGAGGGGCTCTCCTGGATTCTGCCACAGAGAATGCACCGAGAGCTGCAGGCAGGAGCTGCTGGAGATAGATTTCCGCTTGGTAAGAGAAAGTGCTTCCCAACAATCACAGGTGTCCTGGTGACTGGAACCCCCTTGTACCATAGAGAGCTCCTCACACAAGGATGGTTCAAGGAAACAGTGAATGGCCACTTGTCAGGAAAAGTTTCCAGAATGAAATGAGAAGGACCAAAAAAAGGGTTCAACTCTAGAATTTTGAGATTGTTTGAGTCTTTGCGTATGCGTGTGTACACATATACAATGAAGAATGTGTACACATGTGCACACACATACTTACATCTAGGTGTATCTACAGGCATGCACTGGCATGCACAGGTATGTATGGAGATGGAGAAAGAGAGAGAGAGAGAGGGAAAGCACATGCAAGAAAAACAGGACCAGGTAAAAATAGACTCTTTCTTCAAATTCAGGAAGGCCCAAATATGACAAATGGAGGTGGATTTTATAGAAGAAAATGAAATAGAACTTTTGGAGATAAAGACCTTTTTCACCCTTTGTTGATGAGGAATAACAATAATTAAGATTAAACCAACATTCACAGTAAAAACCCAAAGGGGGGTGTGCAGAGTTTAGGAGGTGCCTGTGCAGGGGGCTGCGGCCCCTAATCACCGAGATGGATCTCAGGTGGCCCAAGGTGAGAACACTGCAGGGTGCTCAACATCTACTAGGTATTAACCTGGGCGGTAACGGTCCTCCTCCTTCCTCCCACCCATCTCAGATTCTATTTCCAGGAAGGACAGCAGGTCAATATGAACCAAGTGGACAGCAGCCAGCAGTGTCATACAGATACCTGGTGGGTCAGCAGAAGCCTTACCACCACGGCCAACCTGAGGTTCTTACCAACATTATGTGCTCCGTGATGAAGAGAAGGATGTGCCTGGGGTCTGCTGAGAATATTCCACTGTACAGCTTCTCCACCAGCTTCTGGACGAACTGGGAGATGCTGGCAAGTGAAGGAGCAGCAGCAGCTTCTGCATTTGGCTGAGGCTCTCTACTGCCTGGGGGTTGGGGGAGGGTGACAGACCAAGGCTGAGAAATCATCAGTCTAAACTGCCTTCTCTCCACAACAATCTCCAAGCCCCTCTTGGTAACCAACCACATCTTACTCACCTCTGTACAGCTCACTGTAACCCTCTGCGTACTCTGTTGCTCCAAAAATGGGGTCTTATATACAACAGGTGCCCAATGAACACACATTTATTCAAAGTAAATCAATCCTGAACAATCAGTGATATAAACCAAATGGGGAGAAGGCAAGTACAGAGCAGCATATCTTCCAGTGGCCATTTGGAAGAAGAGTGGGTGAGAATTTAAGGCATACGGTAATGGGAAGGCTGTCATGGTGACCCAAGGCTCTGCTGTTATTTGGACAGAGGATGAAGCTGTAAGGTCAGGTCATCTACCTGTGCTCACCAACACAGCAGGCATTGTGCTCAGACATGGATGCAATGATCTCAGTTAATCTTTAAAGCAACCCTGTAAGTTAGCCACGATTATCCTCCTCACTCACAGGGTCAGGCACCTGCCCGGAGTAATACCACCGTCCAGTGACAGAACCGTGCCCAGAAATGGGCTACCAAGCTCACGCTTTTCACCACTCCACTAGCCTACCACACTTCAGATACCCCAGAAAACCAAAAGTCAGGGCTTCTGCACTGTGGAGCAAGAGGAGTCCAGAAGATGAGCTGCATCACTAAGGATTCCACGACTCAAGAACCACAGAAAGAGCTTTTGTTTAATCTTGTTGGGAAGGTACAGCTGCCTCGGAACCAAATGTTCTGAATGAAGTTTCAGTTTGAACTTCTTAGGGGCAATGGCAGCGTCTTCATCCGGGTTCATTCATTTAAGAAACATTTGCTGTGCCCAGGCGTAGGTGAGCAGAAGAATGTTAAATTCAGGTTGACATCTTGACTCCCCTCATAGGAAGAAGAAAATTCTACTGAAGCTAGAGGCGAACTGATTTTGGCTCAGAGAACAGGACTTCCCATCTCTGACTGACCCAACAATGGCAGGGGTGACATGGAAAGTAGTAAGTATGCCATCCCTGGGGTCTCCGAGCGAGGTCACTGAGCTCTTGTTGTGAACAACAAGAACAGGTGGAGGGCATCTTCCTGTGGCTCCTAAAGCGCCCTACAGTCCTGCAGCCTAGACTTCCTCTAGAGTCCTGGGGTCAGTGGCTGGCAGGATTGTGGCTGTCCTGCTCAGTTGTCAGCAGCTTTATGTCATGAACAGGAGGAGCAAGTCATCCACCCCCACTCACCTCTAAGCACTGGTGCCTGGCCTCCACTCATCATGTGAAATATTTCCATGGTGGAAAGCAAGACCTCAGATTGAAAGTCTCGCTTCTGTTGGCCGGTGGCATTGTCTGGAGAAGCCTGGAAGTAAACCCTGGATTAAGACAGCAGCCACATGGCCACGATGTTCACTCAGTGCCCACCAGGTCCCTCTGCCTGGCCCATATGCTAATACTGCCAGGGCTGGGAGTTTGGGCTGCCAACAGCTCACAACTGCCCCTTCTCTGGGGCACTGTCCTCTGCTGACCAAACTGCCTCAACTGGGAAGCAATGCCTACTTCCTAGGGCAAGGAGGCAAGGGGTGGGGGGCCCACAGCCAATGACCACCTGTCAGGTGCCTTAACGTGGGGCCAACTCTGGGATGCAGATAGCACACTACTGCTCTGGCCCAGGCTACTTCTGAGACCACTTCCTGGCTAGGTCCTCCCTTGTTCTCCTCTGCATCCCTTCTCTGCTTTCCTGAGAGCATCGCCCCCCAAAGTACTCCCACGGAATCCCTGTCTCAGGCTCTGCTTCTAGAAACCTGGCTAAGACCTGCCCTCATTCATCTATTGACTTGCTGCTTGGTGAGCTCCCTGCTCTGCCGGGGCCTGTGGTTTCCAGAGGATGTCCTCCCACCAATCACTGCAGTGCCAGGAGAGGTTCCTGACCACAAGCCAACTGGCATGGACAGGCCTGGATGAGCTCTCTCAAGAGATCAGCCCTCAGGTCTCCCTGGGCACACCCCGCCCTCCCGGTGCCCACGCCCTCCCACAGCACAGAGCCCAACGACACCCTTTCCAACCCACCTCCAGGAGCACCTCCAGCGGCAGCCACTGCTTGGGGTTGGGAGCCCCAAGCAAGAGCTCCCTCAAGAGTAGCTGCATGAATTCCCTCAGCTGCTTCCGGGTGGGATGTGACTCAGCAGGAGCCTGCAGACCCTCCTCAGTGCTGTTGCCTTCAGGCTCGGCCTCAGGACTGCTGGTGTCCTGGGTAGCCTCTGTCACGGCCCCCTCAAAGACAAGAGAACCCCAGCATGAGCGGCCTACCCTGCCTCAAGGCACTCTCACATCCACCTCTGAGGTGTGCACGGTGGGATTCTCATCAAACCCATTAACATGTAAGGAAATTGAGGCTCCGAGGAGGTAGGCAGCTCGCCCAGAGTCCCAGGGCTCAAAGATGGCCTGCTGTGGCCTCCGAACTCCAGATGGGTGGGAGTGATGGACAGAAGCTGGGCACAGAGCAAGAGAGACCTGCAGTGCTCAGCGAGGAAGCCCAGGATGTATCCCGTGCAAGGCACTTCCCTCCTCGGTGCCACAGCTCCCCATCAGTCAAATAGTAATGATGGAAAGGAACACACAAAGATGTGTGAGATGCAGTGAGAAATAGTGCATGTAGCAATGCCTGGCCCTGATGTACGGTCAAGATAGCCGGTTCCCACCTTCCTGTGGGGCCCTCACCTTTACTGCCTGTCAGGCTCTGCTGATGTTGACAGGTAGGACCCTCAGGTGGAAAGAGAAGTAGGACTTCAGCCAGTCCTGGCGTCCAAGTCCCTGAAGTGCCTTGGCCTTCACTTTCTCAGTTTTACATTTATAAAAAGATTGGGAGATAAATGAGATGGGGGTCATTAGCCCAGATACATCCTGGAAGACATGGAGATGCTGGGAGGCCAAATGACACGCCCAAGGACATGCGGCCAGGGATGCCTGACTCCTGGCCCATGAACTTTTCATGCAAGTTTATCTGTTGGTTTCTCCCTTGGCTCATTCATAAAATTAACGCAGCAATTCTTAATTAAGCCATAAAATGAACTTAACAGCACCTAGGGAGGTGATGACTGCATTAATTAGCGCCACGCGGCCTTGACTGGAAAGATGCCATATAAAATCATAGCAAATCAAAACCCTTTTGGCCACCAGCGTTCTGCACGCAGAAAGTCTGTCATGCGTTCTGTGCAACAAAGGCCTTTTGGAGCCGACTTGGAGCTGAAGCAAGGCAAGGAGCTATGGGGATAAGAGCTCTGGAACTGGCGCCTGTCTCATCCACAGTAGGCTGGGAGGTGACTTTGGGCCAGGCCCTCCCTCAGGCAGGAACTATTGAGCGAGGGGAGGCAGAGCCCTGGGTCAGAGTGTGCTTTGTGGCTGCTGGTGGGCAGCCGGCTGGAACCCTAACTTAGCAGATGGCGAGCCTAGCCTGTGGGCGAGGGGCTGAGGTGGGGATCTGGGCTGGGAAGTTCAGGCCGTTGACTCCAGGGCCCAGCCCACTCCAGGTGGGGGGAGTGGTGAGAGGCAGTCTGTAGGGCTGCCTGCCTGGCTTCTGGGCGGGGGTCCCATTCCCCACCCCCTTCAGTGCTGCTCACAGTGCCTTCCTTTGCTCTTTATTGCATCTTTTTTTACTTACTTTTCTAGTATGTTGCTTTAGTTGATATTAACCCATCAAACTATTTTATCTTTTTGCAAACCTTCTACTCCTTACATTTTGTCTTTTTATTAAAACTAAATACTCAAATTCTATTAGGTCATTTAATGTTATTTTAAACTGACTGATGGAAAGGACATGGGCTTTGGGGTGAGAGACTGAGGTGTAAATCTTGGTTCTGTCACTTATTAATCACATAAGCTGTGTCATGTTTCATCTCCTCAACCCTTTTGTGAGATGGGTCTCATCGTCCCACTAAACCGGGAGGAAACGAGTCTGTGCCGTTCACCTCCCTGAATCTCCCCTCCCCCTTTAACACCTCCTGCGTCAGGGCATGTTAGGGGATGTGAAGCACCAGGCTCAGGACTGTTGTAGGTGCTCAGGCTGCACCATGAATACACTTCTAGAAAAGAATAGCTAAAAGAGCAGGTTCATTCACTTGGTCATTTAGCAAATAATTACAGAGCAAATATTACCTGACCTCACTGTGCTTCGCATGGCTTCCAGGCCCTCTACTTACCAACATGCCTAGCGTGTTCCTTTGGCTACAGTTACTGATTTGTAGACAGGCATCGCTAATTCACTCTCCCTGGCTGGGTCTCACCTCCTATTCAGATTTCTGCTCTTCCTCCTCCTGCACCTGCCTTCACGCCTGTCCTCGCCCGCTCCTCTCAGATGCTCTTAGCCCACTGAGTCCCCTGATCGGCTGGGACTGGCTCTTGCTCTCAAACTCACTCACATCTCTTCCTGTAGCGCCCTCTCTACCCCCACACCCACACTTTGTCCTCAAGACCCAGTTGGTCCCCCTGCGCTCCCAGCTGGGCCTTGGCAAACCCTCTGATTGAAAGATGCCGTGGCCTGCAAACAGGACAAGTGTGCTGCAAAGAAGATGGGACACTGTGACAGTTCCACCCCTCCCCCGGCTGGGGCACCGGCCACAGGTTTCCTGGGACGGAATCTGTTCTTTCATACGATCATCAATGTGTGGGTATTCCATATAAAATTGGACTTGATCTACCATCAAATTTCTCATTACTGAGATTCCTGACGAATCAAAAACTTATTCACTCTGAGAACCAAAAATGACCTGAAGCATCATCTCATAAAGAGAAGGAAAATTACCCGAGTTGTTTACTGAAGGTTTCAGCTAAGTTGCCTTAAATGTATTTTAATTTGGGGAGGGGTGGGGAGGAATTCTGTCCTTTGCCCGTGAAGGGTGATGACGCTCACCCCTGCTCTCACCGGGGTAGGGCAGAGGCATGTCCTACCTGATGGGTTCCCAGGGGGAAGGTGACTGCAGCCAAGGTCTGGAGGAACTCTGGGGCCCGCCAGGCCGGATCCTGGGGGTAGGTGCTGTGCACGATGCCAAGGAACTGCAGCACGCTGGCTGGGAATGTCTGTTCCCAGGCGCTGTCTCCAGAACCTGTCAAGGGCTGATCAGGGACACACTTCATGAGAGGCGGTGCATGGGAGCATGACTTGGGGCTGCATAGGAACCAGAAGATTTGAAATCTAGGGAGATGACCTCCTTTCTGAGACTCTCAACAAGACACCTTACTGCAAGACACCTAAAACTGTGGATTAGAACAGGATACTTGTCATCAATTGAGGAAGGGTTTAATATGCTCAGGCTTGCTCTAAGGGCTTCACACAAATTCCTCTTCTCACCTCACAACAACCCTCTGAGGCACGTTTTATATTTACCCCTATTTTACAGATGGGAAGACAAAGACACAGAGAGGTTAAGCAGTATGTTAACGTTCAACCAGCATATAAGGGGCAGAGCCAGGAGTTGAACCCAGGCAACCTGGTTATAACGTCTGACTGCCTTCCCCATACTGCCTCTATGTGGTGTGACATGGCCTCTGTGCTCAAGGAACTTGCCAGTTAGGGTTGACGCCAGCCTTCCCCAGCTCAGTGCTAATACTCCCAGTTACAGAGCCTGGACAAACCCTGTCCAAGGCTGCCAGGGCTTGAGGAGCCCCTTCCCCACCAGCCAGGGCTCTGGAATAGATCATGTTGCACTGAAGTGATACCCAGTACCCTGAGGGGACCCAGGCACCCGTTTGCCTCAAACCATAACCTGGTCTTGGCCACATGGCTGAGCCTCCATCGTGGCTGCACACTAGCGTCTTGCTGGAGCCCAGCTCCCTTAACCAGCTGTGGCCAGTCACTCTTTCTGGACACTAACTCTAGCCTCCGTGTGTCCAGCTGCTGCCTGAGGTCCTTCTCTGTCCTGGATGGACAGCCTGGAACTTGAAAATTGAGCAACCTTAATATCAGGGTCATTCCCTACACAGCCACGCCAACAACTAGACTGAATGACCCTCAGCCTCTACTCCTGTGGACGTTACAGGTGGACATCGGGTCTTCCTCTTGCCAGTTCCTCATCCCCAGCCCCTCCCACCACAGCTTCCTCATTTCCCAACCAGCCTGCCTCGAGTCCTGGCCCTGTGTGCATGAGGTCGCATGTCCTGTTTACCAATTAGGTACCAAATGTCTGGAACTAAGCCTCATTCTAGAAAACTCAAACCTAATTGAAGAAAGAAAGGCAATACGTATGGGACAACTAGAGAGAGGTGTAAAATCTCATTTCCGAGATCTTGTGAGGGTTTGGTATGAGCTGAGCAGGCAGGCAGAGGAAACCTCCTTCTGAAGTCACCTGCACCTGGCTTTTCCACCAGGTTCATACAGCACGATGTTAGACTTAGCGGGAGGACCAGAAGTCAGAGTTCAGAGAGATTTTCTGGAGCTAGTAGGCCTGGTTTGAATACTGCCTCTGCTGCTTACTAACAGTGTGGTTTTGCACCACTTTCTTAATCCCCCTACACCTCCAGTCCCAACTCTGCAAAACAAGGATCATAATATGACCTATTTCATAAGACTGTCATAAGGATTAAGTGAGACATTTTAGTGCTTCAGGCCTATTTTCACAGTGATTAGCGCACGGTAAATACAGAGGATGCTGGGAGATGAGGTCAGATATAGAGGACTTGGACTTTTGGAAGAATTTGGATTTGATATACTAAGAAACAGACATCCCCTGAAGGTCCTTAGGCAAGGTAGTGCCCTGGAATGAAATGCTAATGCTGGACACACGTGCCTCCACCGTGCCCTCGCTCTGTGACCCTGCCTGAGTGAGTTAACCTCCACAGCTTCAATGTCTACATTTGCACAAGGGAGAGAATGCTGTCTGCTCCCAAGGATAGGTGCACATAGCAGAATCGCTAACAACTACAAGACGACAATGTTAAATATTGACAAGGACCAGGAGCAACTAGAACCTTCCCAGAATAAGAGCTGGTGAGTGTAAATTGGCACTTCACTTTGGAGAACTATTTGGCAATATCTACTAAAACAAATCATGTGTAAAGATTATAACCCTCAACTTCACCCTGCGTATATTTCCTACAGAAAGATGTATGTCCACCAGAAGATATGTACGTAGCAGCTTTATTCATAATATTTCCAAATGGAAACAACCCAGAATGAATATATAAATAGTGATCCATTATCACAATAAAATACTACTGAACAATAAAAAAGAATGAACCAAGATGGTGGGGGAGTAAGACATGGAGATCACCTTCCTCACCACAAATACATCAAAAATACATATATATGTGGAACAACTCCTACAAAACACCAACTGAACGCTGGCAGAAGACCTCAGACTTCCCAAAAGGCAAGAAACTCCCCACATACCTGGGTAGGACAAAAGAAAAAAGAAAAAACAGAGGCAAAAGAATAGGTGCAGGAGGGGACCTGCACCTCTGGGAGGGAGCTGTGAAGGAGGAAAAGCTTCCACACACTAGGAAGCCCCTTTACTGGTGGAAACGGGGAGTGGGTGGAGGGGAAGCTTCGGAGTCACAGAGAGCGCAGCAACAGGGGTGCAGAGGGCAAAGCAGAGATATTCCCGCATGGAGGATTGGTGCTGACCAGCACTCACCAGCCTGAGAGGCTTGTCTGCTCACCCGCTGGGGCAGGTGGGAGCTGGGAGCTGAGGCTTCGGCTTCGGAGGTCAGATCCCAGGGAGAGGACTGGGGTTGGCTCTGTGAACACAGCCTGAAGGGGGCTAGTGTGCCACAGCTAGCCGGGAGGGGGTCTGGGAAAAAGTCTGGAACTGCCTAAGAATCAAGAGACCATTGTTTCGGGGCGTGCGAGGAGAGGGGATTCAGAGCTCCACCTAAACAAGCTCCAGAGATAGGAGCAAGCCGTGGCTAACAGCGCGGACCCCAGAGACGGGCATGAGACGCTAAGACTGCTGCTGCAGCCACCAAGAAGGCTGTGTGAGAGCACAGATCACGCTCGACACCTCTCCTCCCAGGAGGCTGTGCAGCCCACCACTACCAGGGTCCTGTGATCCAGGGACAACTTCCCCGGGAGAACACGCAGTGCGCCTCGGGCTGTTTTGCAACATCACTCCGGCCTGTGCCGCCGCAGGCTCACCCCGCATTCCGTGCCCCTCCCTCCCCCCAGCCTGAGTGAGCCAGAGCCCCCTAATCAGCGGCTCCTTTAACCCCCTCCTGTCTGAGCGAAGAACAGACGCCCTCAGGCGACCTACATGCAGAGGCGGGGCCAAATCCAAAGCTGAACCCCAGGAGCTGTGCTAGCAAAGAAGAGAAAGGGGAATCTCCTCCAGCAGCCTCAGGAGCAGCGGATTAAATCTCCACAATCAACTTGATGTACCCTGCATCTGTGGAATGCCTGAATAGACAATGAATCACCCCGAAACGAGGAGGTGGACTTTGGGAGCAACTGTAGACTTGGGGTTTGCTGTATGTGACAGACTAGTTACTGATTTTTATGTTTATCTTAGTATAGTTTTATTGCTTGTTATCCTTGGTGGATTTGTTTATTGGTTTGGTTGCTCTGCTTTTTTTAAATTACTTTTTAATTCTTTTTATTTTAGTAATATTTTTTTATTTTTTATTTTAATAACTTTATTTTATTTATTTATTTATTTATTTATCTTTCTTTTTTTTTCTCCTTTCTCTTCTGAGTCATGTGGCTGACAGGGTCTTGGTGCTCCAGCCAGGTGTCAGGCCTGAGCCTCTGAGGCGGGAGAGCCGAGTTCAGGACACAGGACCACAGGAGACCTCCCGGCCCCATGTAATATCAATCGGCGAGCGCTCTCCCAGAGATCTCCGTCTCAATGCTAAGACCCAGCTGCACTCAACAACCAGCAAGCTCCAGTGCTGGACACCCCATGCCAAACAACTAGCAAGACAGGAACACAACCCCACCCATTAGCAGAAAGCCTGCCTAAAATCATAATAAGTTCACAGACACCCCAAAACACACCACTGGACACGGTCCTGCCCACCAGAAAGACAAGATCCAGCCTCATCCACCAGAACACAGGCACCAGTCCCCGCCACCAGGAAGCCTACACAGCCCACTGAACCAACATAACCCACTGGGGGCAGACACCAAAAACAATGGGAACTACAAACCTGCAGCCTGTGAAAAGGAGACCCCAAACACAGTAAGTTAAGCAAAATGAGAAGACAGAGAAATATGCAACAGAAGAAGGAGCAAGATAAAAACCCACCAGACCTAACAAATGAAGAGGAAATAGGCAGTCTACCTGAAAAAGAATTCAGAGTAATGACAGTAAAGATGATCCAAAATCTTGGAAATAGAATAGACAGAATGCAAGAAACGTTTAATAAGGACCTGCAAGAAACGTTTAATAAGGACCTACAAGAACTAAAGAGCAAACAATGATAAACAACACAATAAATAAAATTTAAAATTCTCTAGAAGGAATCAATAGCAGAATAACTGAGGCAGAAGAACGGATAAGTGACCTGGAAGATAAAATAGTGGAAATAACTACCACAGAACAGAATAAAGAAAAAAGAGTGAAAAGAATTAAGGATAGTCTCAGAGACCTCTGGGACATTAAATGCACCAACATTCGAATTATAGGGGTCCCAGAAGAAGAAGAGAAAAAGAAAGGGACTGAGAAAATATTTGAAGAGATTATAGTTGAAAACTTCCCTAATGTGGGAAAGGAAATAGTCAATCAAGTCCAGGAAGCATAGAGAGTCCCATACAGGATAAATCCAAGGAGAAACATGCCAAGACACATATTAATCTATCAAAAATTAAATACAAAGGAAAAAATACTAAAAGCAGCAAGGGAAAAGCCACAAATAACATACAAGGGAATCTCCATAAGGTTAACAGCTGATCTTTCAGCAGAAACTCTGCAAGCCAGAACGGAGTGGCAGGACATATTTAAAGTAATGAAAGGGAAAAACCTACAACCAAGATTACTCTACCCAGCAAGGATCTCATTCAGATTCGACAGAGAAATTAAAAACTTTACAGACAAGAAAAAGCTAAGAGAATTCAGCACCACCAAACCAGATTTACAACAAATGCTAAAGGAACTTCTCTAGGCAGGAAAAACAAGTGAAGGAAA